TCAATAATGAAACTTGTTCACAAACTCAGCAACCAAAGCTGGAAAATGCAAATAATCCACCTCCTTTGGGTGCTTTATGTCAAGTTGGCAGTCAGTGAAAGGAAACGATAACACCTTTTTGTTTCGTTGCTCATGTTCCGTGACCAACAACAATAATAAATGAATGACACAGGGCTTATTACACCTCTGGAAATGTATTTAAAGCAGATAGTGGTAAAATGTTCCTTACTAGATTTTTATCTAGGCCTCTTTTTTTTCCTCTTTTTTTTCAGATCTATCATCTTTGAACAGAAAGGCCCAGCAGATCCACCCTCTGGAGTGTTGTGTAAAGTTTTAATGCTTTAATAAAGAAGAGTGTATCTTCACAAACAAAGAGAGAGAGAGAAAAAGCTAAACATCACATTTTCCACTCCCCTGAGAGTGTGGGTCTGTTTCTGCTTCTTCCAGCAATAAATCAAAACCTGTCCCAGGTCCAGCGTCAGGTGATGCAGCCTCGCCGAGCCAAACAGCCGATCCTGCATTCACTGCAAAAGCCTTTTCAGATAAACACGAGGAAGGCTGAGATGGAAAGGTTATTCTTCTTCAGTTGGAAGTGTCTCCTCAGAGTGACAGACACCACCTCATTTTTCATGCCACGAGGAGTGATAAACAGCAATAAAGTACTTCTGCTCACAACGGCATGCCGTTGCTATAGTCACAGCCTCCCAAACACAATCCAGAGACCCTTTCACCTCTTACTGAATTCATTAACATAAGCGTATGCAAAAGAGCGTGAAGAAGAAGGTGGTATCTGAGCACATTCTGGTTAAGTGCATCGTAATTGCTCGGGTTATTTTCGCACCAGTTACTGAAACAAGTATGCTGGGATGAAAAAAAATACAGGTAGGATTTTCTTTGTGGTTCGCTCCAATGATCCTCTGATTAAAGGAAGTACTTCCAGAAAACAACAACAACAACAACAAAAAAAGCACTCTCAACAAGCCACTTGGTAATAGATTTATTATACATGAATTAGCCCGAGGTTGGCCAGCTTAACAGCCCTCTCAGGCCTGTTTGAATTGTAAAACACACTGCCTGTCACGCTTTGTTTCCCTTTTTACTTTTCTTCCATGACAATGTACAAATAATGTTTTCCCCCCAAACAGTGTAGTCTGCAGGCTTAAGCTCAGGAAAACGGCACCGGCGCTGTGTGCGGAGAAACATTAATGGAGCAGAATAAAACGCACTTGCTACAGTTGAAACGCCCGTGAAAACGACACGTCAGACAGCCTGCTGTGTGTTCACGGGCACAAACAATAGATGCAACCGGGCATAAACATTTCCCATGCAAACATAAGCACTTTCACCACACTGGCTGCAGCTTCTTCGTTGTGTGAAACTTAAAGCTTGTATAGTGACGCCACTATCTGGTTATGCAGTGCATTACATCAATCGGTGGCCGACTGTGGAATTTCACCACTAGGTTAAGTGCGATTAAGCACACAAACTGCACTATGAAATGAACGTAGCTTAAATAGTTTTGGCATTAGTTTATTGTTAGGTAGTTCAGCTTTTTTATTTTTTTGTGTAGTCAGCTACTGAAATTTTTCTGTTTTACCTTTCCTTGTTTACTACTTCTTTACGACTATTAGGGTAACACCATATATATAGGGTTAGGGTTAGGGTTAGGGTTATA